GCAATACTTTCTGCATGAACTTGCTGGTCCACCATCCAATCGCGCGATTTCAGTTCAGCGACAGAATTCCGTGTCGAACTTTTGACGTCTCGCAATATCTCACGCGGTCCGCCCCGCCCTCTGACGTCATTTGACCTTGAGCGTCCGCTGCCACCGACCACAGGTCATTTCATTCAAGAGTGAATAGCGAGTGCGCGAGCGGTTCGAGCCCACCCGACTATTCCGTCGCGGCTGGGCTGGGAGACGGGTGCTGCAGCAGGGTGAGCTACTGGGCGGACATAGTATACTACTTTTCGTACCATGCATTAACTCCAGGAAGTGAACCGCAGGTTTAACTGGCCATTTACCAGTGTCTGCCAAAACTAAGTAACGAACAAACGAGTAAAATTACCATTAAAAATGTTTCCTGCTCTTTAACAGTCCTGCGAGTCAAGCTTCCAGACGTTTAAGCCGGAATCCGCACCCTTCCGGAGACTCACATCTCGCTTGGCATGCTCCACTTTTATTTGGCACACTTCGCACCCTACTTCCTTATTGACTAAGCCGGAGACGAAAAGGAACGGCAATGCCAGCATTAGGAGCTATCGTCGCCCTCCACCGACCGAGTTTCCCTTTCATCTCCCTCACACGATCAGGTGCGATCCATCATATCTTCGCTCTCGAGTGCCATCCTGATTTTCATGTGCATTCCCTGCCAAGATCCGCTTGACTATCTGGGATCTAGGGTCCGGAAAGTCCGATCCCAATCTTAACGGCAGCACAGAGAATATCGCCTTCGCCCTCGCCCTCGCCCTCACCCTCGCCTCCCCCTCTCTCTCCCCTTCTCCCCCCCCCCTCTCTCTCTCTCTCTGTCCCTCTCTCCCTCTCTCTGTGTGTTTGGTGTGACCTGCTTACACACAGGCGGGAGTAGCGCATCATACATTGGCCGATGCCGGCCAGTGGCCGCCAGCTTCACCAAGTCACGTAGCCCCGAGCGAGCGTGATTGTCTGAACGCCGCAAAATTTTTTCGAACGTTCGTGTACCAACTGCTGATTATGCCATGTGTGCAAATATCACAGACATGCGCCAGAAGCACAGTATTCTGGCCGACAACGAATCGGGCACCCCAACACAGATCACGGCGCCACCATGCACAAATTAACCGGCGCGGCTCCCCTCCTCCTCCCTCCTCCCTCTGTCGCCTCCCCTGGCAACGGGACGCCTCCGATCACACACATGATTTCGCCCACGACGCACGTGACCGCACCACGTGATCAGATCACGTGATCGGACCCCGTGGCGCTCGCTCGCTGCCCCTCGCGTGACAGATCGCTTCGTTCCCCCGCCGTCGAGATATGGCCGAGGATGGTCTGAACGGTCGCGGACGGACCCGACGCTGATCACGAGGCCTGATGGCCGTCTCTGGTGCCGATGTATCCTTGCCCGCATATGGGCCCCAGACGCACGGCTAGGACCCGCACCAATTGGTGCGCAGCAGAGGCATGTCCTAGGTGGTGGGGAAACTTCAGGTTGGCCGTCGCCCGCCGGAGGCTCCAAGGACCCTCGCCCCAGTTAGCTCGCTTCTGGGAGGAGTGTCGCCCGTGGTAAGCGAGCCGTATTGCTCTCGCTCCCACTCCCACTCCCCCATCCCCACCCCCACCACACCATAAAGGGCAGATAGCTGGGCCAAGTAGGGTAACGGGGTTCGGCGGGACCAGAAAGTGGCGCAGGGCCCGGCCCCAGTAACAGAGGCTCAGTAAAACACCTGACGAAACGACACACACCACGGGGGTGGAAGTTCGTCTGGCCCGCGGCCAAGTGGTGAAAACTGGTGTTTTCTGGGCACACGCGCTTACTATGCCACATTAAGCCCGTGAAATTACCTCCACTGAGCTACGACTTTAGCGTAGTAGTCATCTCCAACTGGACTCCATTTTTGGTCCGGGCTGTTTATCCACTTAAGTTCTCCTGAACACCCCCGAAGTGAGAATGAGTTTGGGATTGCCCGGACCTAGTGTCCCATGATCGGGAAGCATCTCAGGTCGAGCATTTCCAATCAATGTCATTTGCATCGCTCTAAGGCCCAGCGCAACAATGCTTTTGTTTTCATACAGGTAGCTCAAATGTGGTGCCATGAAAACCGAGATGTCGTTTGTGGGGATAGATGAGCACTAAAGCCGAGCATTAATCACGAACTTGAAGAACTGAATAGTAATCGATCGCCTTTTCTGTCCGCAAGCAATAAATCATGCGCCAATGTCGTCTCTCAGAGCATGTTCTTCAGATAAAAGAATTTTTGTCAGACTGCTGGCCATAGATGCTCGTAAGAGCGGAGGCCATGCCATATCATGGTCGAGGACCAGAATGATATATGTTTGTGGTATATAAACCAGATATGCCAGATATGTTGTTGCATGCTGACTGACCGCGCTGGGCAAAATAAGAAATGACAATGACAAGGAGTTATGGGATGGTGACGAAATACCTGCTCCTGGCAACTGGCGTGCTATCATTTATGGCCATTTGTACAGATTAATATTGGGTGGCGCAAGCAATATATCAGGGAGTCATCTGTAGATGACAATCACCCAAATCTGCCCGCTCACTCTCGCCAGGAACACACCCCGACGCATTCGCCGCCGCTCACCCTCGCCAGGAACACACCCTGACGCATTCGCCGCCGCTCACTCTCGCCAGGAACACACTCCGACGCATTCGCCGCCGCTCACCCTCGCCAAGAACACACCCCGACGCATTCGCCGCCGCTCACCCTCGCCAGGAACACACCCCGACGCATTCGCCGCCGCTCACCCTCGCCAGGAACACACCCCGACGCATTCGCCGCCGCTCACTCTCGCCAGGAACACAACCCGACGCATTCGCCGCCGCTCACCCTCGCCAGGAACACACCCCGACGCATTCGCCGCCGCTCACCCTCGCCAGGAACACACCCCGACGCATTCGCCGCCGCTCACTCTCGCCAGGAACACACCCCGACGCATTCGCCGCCGCTCACTCTCGCCAGGAACACACCCCAACGCATTCGCCGCCGCTCCCTCTCGCCAGGAACACACCCTGACGCATTCGCCGCCGCTCACTTTCGCCAGGAACACACTCCGACGCATTCGCCGCCGCTCACTCTCGCCAGGAACACACCCCGCCTCATTCGCCGCCGCTCACTCTCGCCAGGAACACACCCCCGACGCATTCGCCGCCGCTCACTCTCGCCAGGAACACACCCCGACGCATTCGCCGCCGCTCACCCTCGCCAGGAACACACCCCGACGCATTCGCCGCCGCTCACCCTCGCCAGGAACACACCCCGACGCATTCGCCGCCGCTCACTCTCGCCAGGAACACACCCTGACGCATTCGCCGTCGCTCACCCTCGCCAGGAACACACCCCGACGCATTCGCCGCCGCTCACTCTCGCCAGGAACACACCCCGACGCATTCGCCGCCGCTCACTCTCGCCAGGAACACACCCCGACGCATTCGCCGCCGCTCACTCTCGCCGAGAACACACCCCGACGCATTCGCCGCCGCTCACTCTCGCCAAGAACACACCCCGACGCATTCGCCGCCGCTCACTCTCGCCAAGAACACACCCCGACGCATTCGCCGCAATCACATACGAGAGACACGGCAGGGGAGCAAGAAAACGCCACGAAGCATGGCGGAACAGAATACGATGTTTGGTGTAAGCCAGAAAACAATTTCACTTTTGAAGATATTAAAAAAGGCACCAGATGTGAGGAAAAAAGCTCACTTATCCGTGTTGGCATGCTTTTGAATAGAACAGACTGCTCTAGATATCCCAGTTTCTCTGTTTTCTAAATAGGCTCCTCGATGCGTCATCCTTTACGTCATCGCACTTGCACAACATTGGTTGAAAGCCAAATGACCGCAATTATATCCGGAAACCGTGCTCACGAACGCCAGGTGCGAATGACTCGGCCATGATATTTTCTCGGTGTTGATCGCCGCATTTTTATAAAACAGTAGGATTTAGCTGACGCCATTATGACGTAATTGAGGCGGTCAGCGGTATAGGTCTTAAGAACGGCAGTGCTGTGAACTGCATCCAAATGTCTTCAAGAAGATTATTTCAGTTAAAACTGACATATCAATGTGGAGCACTCCCTGCAACCAGTGCTGCCGTGACATGTTGAAGGACGTTCTTTTCGGCACAACGGCTGTAAACTAATAATGCAAAGCAGTCATTGAGTGAGGCCGACGACACGAATTCCAGACGTCGAACATGTCTAGCATGCGGGCGCAGTGTGCCTTACCCCAGCTCCAGCCCGGCTGGCCGCGTGTGACCTCGCTGCTATTAGGAGCCAGCGCGGCCTGCAACGATACTCGAGCGGATAGGCTGAGGCCGCCCGGCGCGACGACGACACAGGCGTGCCAACTTCACAGAGACTGCCCTTGCCAGCCAGCACCTCGGACACGAAGTACGCCTAATTTGTGCCGCGAGGGCAGGCGATAGCACTGGCCCTAGCGGTGCCAGGTGGACTTGGGCCGTATCCGGTGGGCCGCGATTTCGATGTGAGAACAACTTGTTTGAATTTGGCTTGTCCGACCGAGGACAGAGTGGGATCTGTGTTCTTATCAAGTCGTGACATCGCAGCATGTAAATCGCACGCCGTAAGCCTCACTTTGGAGTAACATAACAGGCCCTATCGCGAAGAGTTTAGAACTAGGACTTGTCGCGTTCGGTGGCATGCCAATAGCGGGTGTGATGGCCATCAATATGTACTTACGGACAGAGCAAGCTTAATCGTGACAGTTACTGCAGAGCAACATAGAAACTGAGACCTCCGGACCATCCCAATTAGTAATATCATCATTTCAGTGGGCACAGAGACAGCCAAAAAGGCATAAGTAGTAGAGAGTATCTGTGCCGTCAACACCCGACCACACTCGACAACAACGCTCCATCCCTGTCACTTGCTGCGACCCTGTAATCTCCTGCGTCATTACGGGAACTGTTCAGCGCGTGCGCGCGGTACGTCACCTCGATGTAGAAGCGGGAGAGGAAGCGCAGCACCCAGTAGGACCTGATGTCACCCACGAACGCGATGCCCAGGGAGATGAGGCAGTTTTGGCAGCAGACCATCATGAACAGGGTCTTGCGTCCGTACTGAAACACAGCGCATAAGTCGACAAATAATGGCGATTGAAGTGGGTGGATGGCCCCTGGCACGGCGCGGTCACGATGAACATTAGAGAAAGGTTGTCAACGTGCTATATATATATATATATATATATATATATATATATATATATGTATATATACAACACAATAAAATAATATAAAAACTGATAGGCGCTTACTGCCACAGGTCATCAACAAGGCACCTAATCGATGAAGAGTTCGGGTCATTCTCGCCCCGAAGTCATTGAGCTCATATTTGTGACCTGACTGATGACGCGTCAGGGTCTCGCAACATACTTGCAACACGACACGCTCACAAATAGCTCCAAACAGTTTTCACGCTTTTAAGAACTAAGAAAATTTATCGCAGCTGCAGCTTTGTAACTCGAAACCAAGCGGGGGAGTTCCTTGCGCTACAAAGCAAAAATATGTTGCCAAAGATCGAGGGTGTACGTGTGGTCAGAGTAAGGTCATGTTCGGTCCGGGTCATATCCCGTCATAGCCAGGTCAGTCAGCAAAATTGCAACTTATTTTTCCGGCCGTTCGGATCTCATTTGATCTAAAGCCACGGTTGCCTTGCCTAGGCGGCCGCCAGCCGACATGTTGATGGTGTGTGTCCCAACGTCTGCTGGTTTTGAATTCATGCAATCCAGAATATAGCTATAGATAATGGTCATATGGTGTCCCACAGCAGGACACGGGACATCAGACCTGAGCACGCGTCAAAAACGGAGCATACATCAAAAACGGAGCATACATCAAACAACAGTAAACGAAGCAAGAGCGCTGGTTTACAACAGGTGCGCGACAACATGCACACACATTCCTACAGAGAATGCTAATTTCTAGCGCGGTCCACAGGAATCTCATAACCCAGTTCAAAGCGATTACGCACCGGGTTCATTAGTCCACACCAGCCACACTAGCGCAATAATATCGTGCAGCAGGTGGCAACACACAGCGAGCTACACAGCAACCTCCAGAGGCACGGTTCTTGGGGCCGTTGATCACCGCACACGCCCCGCGGTCAGGCAAATATGACACGACAGGCGCTCCTCGATGCGACGGCTCGCACTGGGCGGTCAACAACGAATTTGAGCAGAACGACCGCGAGCGGCTGTTCCATGACGGGCGACGGCTATAGGTCACTCTCAACACCTTTAATCCGATCTGCAGCACAAGTCAAAACACTTGCAGAGGTTTTTTCGAACTTTATGTTCTTGACATTTACGACGGGCTTTGAACCGTCCAAAATGTTAACACGACCGACAAGTCTGCCCAATATCTTGCCCGCACTCTGACCGCTCCCCGGCCAATGTCGTGCCCGCACTCTGGCCGTTCCCTGCCCAATATCGTGCCCGCACTCTGACCGCTCCCCTGCCCAATATCGTGCCCGCACTCTGACCACTACCCTGCCCAATATAGTGCCCGCACTCTGACCGCTACCCTGCCCTATATCGTGCCCGCACTCTGATCGCTCCTCGGCCAATATCGTGCCCGCACTCTGACCGTTCCCTGCCCAATATCGTGCCCGCACTCTGACCGCTCCCCTGCCCAATATCGTGCCCGCACTCTGACCACTACCCTGCCCAATATAGTGCCCGCACTCTGACCGCTACCCTGCCCTATATCGTGCCCGCACTCTGATCGCTCCTCGGCCAATATCGTGCCCGCACTCTGACCGTTCCCTGCCCAATATCGTGCCCGCACTCTGACCGCTACCTTGCCCAATATCGTGCCCGCACTCTGACCGCTCCCGACCATGACGTCCGAGCGAAATCCGAAATCCCATTCGAGCACTCCTGACCACAAAGTGACGAAAGCTTGATCTGTGCCGCAGCCGACCAGCCTCCCGACCTCGGTCGTCGGTCACAGGCCCGGAGCCGCTCCCCGGCCGCCGGCGGCACCGGTACCGTCGACGCCGACGAATTGCCGCGGGCATCCCGAGGGGGCCGACGCGGTACATCCAATTTATATGCATCATCGGCCGGGCCGTCGGTGCCGCGGCTGCGACCATCGCTGGCAGTCAGTCCAGCAGAGCCCCGGACCCACTCAGGCTGGGGCACGCTGGCGGCCATATGGCCTGAACATAACGGTGGTGGTCAGGCGGGGCACGACAGTGCCGGCCATGCCTTGCCGCGCTGGTGCTGGCTAGAAGACGGATTCGACGGCGCCGGTAATGCCGAGTGCGCTGCAGATTTGGACGGTGTGCATGCACCGGTGCCAGTCATAGTAGGATACACTGGTAACGGTAAGAATCGGGACTCATCGACTGCCCATACTCAGACCGAGACAAGGTGGTCTGACAGTCAGAATAGGAACACAGTGGTGCCGGAGCTGGGACACAGTCATACTGACAGTTAGGCTCGAACACAGTGTGACGACTGGGCGGAAGTGGCGGGCAGTCAGCCTGGGGCAACAGTGGTGGCAGTCAGCCTGGGGCGCAGTGGTGGCAGTCAACCTGGGGCACAGTTGGCGGCAGTTAGTCTGGGACACAGTGGTCCACAGTCAGCCTGGGGCACAGCGGTGGCAGTCAGCATGGGGCACAGTGGTGGCAGTCAGTCTGGGACACAGTGGTCACAGTCAGCCTGGGGCGCAGTGGTGGCAGTCAACCTGGGACACAGTGGCGGCAGTTAGTCTGGGGAACAGTGGTGGCAGTCAACCTGGGACACAGTGGCGGCAGTTAGTCTGGGGCACATTGGTGACAGTCAGTCTGGGACACAGTGGTGGCAGTCAGGCTGGGACACAGTGGTGGCAGTCAACCTAGGGCACAGTAGTGGCAGTCAGGCTGGGGCACAGTGGTGGTGGCCCCAAGTGGGACACGCCATGACAGTCGGACTCGGACGCAGCGCTGAAGACTGGGAATCCACTGGTGTTATCCCCCTGAGGATTCACTGGATCACAGCAATCATGGCACTGGATCACAGCAATCACGGCACTGGGTCACAGCAATCACGGCACTGGGTCACAGCAAGGATGGAGTGACAGCACAGGCAGCGATGACAGCCGTACTGGTGATGCACTGATGTCGTTCTCACTGGAGCGCAGTGCCATTCTCACTGGAGCGCAGTGCCGTTCTCACTGGGACGCAGTGTCGCTTTCACTGGGGCGCAGTGTCGTTCTCACTGGAGCGCAGTGCCGTTCTCGCTGGGACGCAGTGTCGCTTTCACTGGAGCGCAGTGCCGTTCTCACTGGGGCGCAGTGTTGCTTTCACTGGGGCGCAGTGTCGTTCTCACTAGGACGCGTGTCGCTCTCACTGGAGGGCAAATTCGTTCTCACAAGGGCGCAGTGTTGCTCTCACTGGGGCGCGATGTCGTTCTCACTGGGGCGCAATGTCGTTCTCACTAGGACGCAGTGTCGCTGTCACTGGGGCCCACTGCTGCCGTTCGTGCCGCGACCTTCTGGTGCCCATCGGGCCGGCACCAGAAGGTCGCAAGCATGACCATCTCCACTGGTGCTGGTGATGCTCGGACCTCCCGGTACCGGCGGGACTCAGCTTCACTGATGCCCAGTAGCCCCAAGCCGCACGCATTGGCTGTTGGTCTGCGCCTCCCTGATTCTGGTCATGGCCTCTGGACGGTCGCCATTCTACGCGCTCGTCACATCACGCGCTGGAGCCCTCGAGACTGCCGCTGTTGTTCGGCGGAGCCGTGTGAAATCGATGTGAGGTAGAGGAGATTAATGTCCGCTTCCTTTCTACTGTCATCTTCAAAAGGCCAAGTGACGGTATCGAAGAAACACAGCCTTCGAAATCTCCGCAGCTTAAGGCGGTTGGAGGGAAGGCCTTCAGTCGTTCTAGCAGGGTTTTACCTGCATGAGCAAGCACCTCACTGACCTCGGCGCAGGAGAAAAAAAGCGTTGGAGACGACGGAAGATAAGGGGAATAGTGACGCGAGAAATGGCATGGGCAGACAGTAAAGGTGGCGAGGATAAAAATAGCGAAGTAGAATCCTACCTGTTCCATTTCTCCAAAAATGAGGACGTGAGGTGTTGGTAAGGAAAAAAGAGATGAAATCATTCCAAAGTTGTGAAGGGTGCAAGCATGTCGAAAGAAAAGCTCTTCCTTCTTCACCCCGTTTTCAGCGCATGCCGATCTCTTGTTTTTGGCAGCTTCAACCCGTCTTCAAGCCACTCAAAACCCTTAAATATAATGTGCACGATATAACCAGTCAGCCATAGCCCACATCTCTTCCCTACTTTTCATTATCTGACATTCTCAATCCTCTCTTATTCTGGGTAAATGCATCCACTTTTATAGATCACTCACCACAATAGCCGTTCTAAACACTTACTTCGATTAATGGCTCATCGGCTTCGACTACCAATAGCAATGGCAGCTCAGCAGCGACGGGCGGCGTCAGCGCCAGTCGAGGTGAGCGAGCGAGCACTGCGCCGTGCCGTTCTCGTCGTGATGTGGTCGGGCACAAGACAATTACATCCTCGGCAGAGAACATGCCTCTCTCACCCATGTGATGGGGACAAGGGCCTAAGGCAGGCAGAGAGTTAAGGATGACGGGGGAGGGCATTGCGCTGTCCGCGATATCACACGCACCCGTGCATCACTGTCTAGTGGGGGCGGGGGGGGGCGGGGGCAGGGGCATCTCACCTTGTCCACAAAGGGTGCGAAGATGATGGCCCCGGCCACCATGGCCGTACCAAGCACGGTGTTGGTGATGACGGAGACGTCGTTGCCGCACGAGAGCCCGTACTGGAGACGAGACGTCGCATGTCAAAGCTTGAACAAGGGGGGGGGGGGGGTCTCACAGCTTGAGGGGCGTTAGCTTTGGGAGGAGTGGTTGACTATCATGGCGCGCGCAGGTCAGGTTCAGTGGGGGTGAGTGATTCGTGTGTAAAAGTCGTCGCAACGCGAGGATGCGCAGTCATCGTCTTGACACTTATATTAGGAAGATTGAATACCATTTCAGAGACTTAGAATCACGCCCAACCTTCACCGGAGACTTTGGCAATTGACATACGGCGACACATTTGTGGAACTGAAATGGTCGACATACGATCATGCGTTGTTATTCGCTTCTAAGGGGTAACCGTGTTGCGCCGCATCAGCCTAGACTTTCACGAATATATCACTGGTCACGTGTGCACACTGGGTGATGGACGGAGAAAATCAGCCTTGTCCAGAGTGAGTTCACCCAGCTGAGGACTTCTACAAATTAAGAACGCTGAGATGTTCGGGTCTGTCCACAAAATAAGCTACGCATGGGGCGGGGCACAGCCGAAGGGAACAAGGGTGGAGGTCGGAGAAACGCGACGCTACGCTCAGATTTAGTAGTAAATCAGCCTCTTGTCGGCTAAAAATGTGTTTGGAACTTACGGTGGGAGTCGTCGGCATCTTCCAATGACAAGGAGCACGTCCGACTTTATGACACACCTCCGCTTAATACCTTCAGCCCAATTACGTGTTAAATGGCCGATACCCTTTCAGACGATATGCTCGACACGATGCAAGGGAGGGGTTTTCAACCGCATAACCAGCGCGTAAACAGTGAGAGGGGGCGATAAAATGGTCACAAATGTTAAACGTAAAAATGGTCACAAATGTTAAACGTAAATGTATTGGCGGCCCGTTATCAGCCACTGCAGCAAGATGTTTGATACTGCTGATCAGGCCAGCTTGCTCACATGACTGATTCAGCCCAGCCCCCGCGCAAAATCATGCATTTGGTGGGCTGGTGCCGCATGTGATAACGCATAGACTGCGGCATCAGCATTTTCTCGGTTGACTGCCGATAGCTCTGAGTGGTTTTTAATGTGATTGACAGAGACGTAAACAAAGCGATCAGCGTCGCAATAAAGCGCGCAACCTGGGAATTATGAACCGGTTTTAAATGCTGGCCGTTGTCGGTCTACCGACTCCACGATGGCAGCCAGAGTGAGGCTCTGCTGCTTGCTGTCAGTGGGCTGGGTGTCGCACGCTTCTGTCCACGCCTGACAACACAGTCATGACCAGCCAGGGTGAGGTTCTGCCGCGCGCTGCCAGTGGGCTGGGTGTCGCACGCTTTCGTCCACGCCTGACAATACAGTCATGACGGCTGCTGTGTCATCGATGTGGGCCATCATCGCCATGGTACACATGTCATATGCTCCACGATACCGGTCGGCGGAGGGCCGAGCGAGCGCAGGTGCTAAAGCAAAAACAAGGAGTGCAGTTATCGGCCAGGATAACAAAGGGTCGAGGGAACTGCCGAGGATCGAGGATCGAAAATCGAAGATGCTGGAGCTGTCGAGGATAGGGGATCGATGCTGCTGTCGTCAGGTGCAGAGAGGTCACACAGACTGACGTATCAACTACGCGAAAATCGGATCCTCCCGGGCACATTACCGCACTGCTAATATTAACAGCAGCAAACAGATGACGCAAGGCAGCGTAACACATCTGCTTCTGCGCCACAAACGGACCGTAGGTGGAAGACTGCTGGCGGCACAAAACTGCACGTACCCCCCCCCCCCCCCCATCAACCGTTCTGTCTTCTGCCGTCACGTCCTAAATCAATCAGACTCACTTTACGATCGGTAAAGCACCAACAGGCCGTCGTGTCAAGTTCTAAGTTGCGGGCTCGCGGTAGGAGTTAGCAGGCGCTGCAGCGGCTGCTGAAACATCTGTGCAAACAGAAGTGGCTTTGGATAGTCGTAGCCCTAATTTCAGGCTTCGGTAATGATAGTGGTCAGATATCCAGCATAATTCCAGGTAAATATTTTACGATATACCTCAATATGTTACAAGCTGCGTGCCTTCTTTTGGCGATAATGAGACGCATTCATATCCTTGATTATTGCTCCTAGATCCCACTGGTAAATCTAGGTGGAAAATTGTTCTGATATCTTTCGTAATTGAGACACAAAACGCTAAAAAGCTGTCGACGGGTGGTTAACAGATAAGTGCACCGGCTGAGAGGTGGTGGCGAGGGGGCAAGGCCACATCCCCATCAGTGGTCCGTGGATTGAATGAAAGGACTTATGCCCGTGATCTTAAAAAAATCAGCACACTTTGCATGCCATTAGCCGAACTATGGCAAAATCGATGCAGCGCTTTCATGGCAAGGACAAAACATCTGTAAGTGCATAGCAAGGCAGCTATTCAGTGAACACTGAACGAACTCATCTAACGCAAGCTCACGTGGAGAATATATCATGCAAGTGCATGTCTCGGCTCTGCGGCCAGAGAGTCAGGGGCATCATAACATCTGTATTCGGTTAATTCTTTGCAATCGGCATGAACGCTTCCCAAGGCCTAATACCGGAAAGCCTGGTAACCCCAGGTTGAGATGGTCTGTGATTGGGAGCAAATCTTCGGGGACGGATGAAGGTGACTGGAACCAATGGCCGGGAATTCTGCTTGCCCCGGAGGTTTTCCGTGATTGTAGACTTAACTTCAGGCGAGTAGCAAAGGAGACAGCGAATCGTCATCAGTTGGTAATTCTGGAAGATTTTTTAACAACGAACGGTCCAAGAGCGCTAACTTCTTGCAAACGCTGGGATCGAGTTGTCGATAAACGCGCTGATAAGGCGTCGACTTCTGAACAAGTCAATTCGGGGGCGAAAGATGTTTCCCAAAAGGTTCGCAATGTTAAAGGACTCTTAAGCATTGCTGAATTATTTGAGGTTTCAATGACCTGATTTTCACAAAACGGAAGGCTTTGGTAATTTTCATAATATTAGTACTCTGGGGTAAATCCAGGCAACTGCGGCTAAACATTGGGCGATGATTGAGAGGGATGTGAAGGGGCAGGCCTCACAATGCAATACTCGAAAGCCCCGCACACACTAGCACCTTTTTAGTTTATGCAATGGTTTATGATAGGTATACATTAAAGTTATGTTAGGTTTATGGCAAAGCTAGCGATTGGGGCTCCAAAGCAGTAGATACAAGTCGTCGGTCGTCTCAGCAGCGTCAAAGTCTCGTCGCCTCCAGTGGGGCGGTATGTTGGGGCTGTTTGAACTCCTCAACGGCACACGGAGCGGTGATTGGCTGTCGGCCATCGCGAAGACCCGATGGTGGAGGCCCGACCCAACATGAACTGGTGATGTTAACAACTTTAACTGGCTTGGTCAGACACGAAGATGTGCATTCACGACATGCTCTCATTGTCGTCCGGCCATCCGTTTTGGGCTCTAGTCAGGTGGTTCAGTGATTAGAGCCGTGATCCAGTCAGGTAGTTCAGTGATCAGAGTTGTGATTCAGTTCTGTAGATCGGTGATCAGAGTCGTGGTTCAGTCCGGTGGTTCAGTGCTCAGAGTTGTGATTCAGTTCGGTGGTTCATCGATCAGAGCCATGGTTCAGTCCGGTGGGCCAGTGATATAAGCAGTTGTTTTGTCCAGTAGTCAAGCGATCAAAGCCATGGTTCAGTCCAGTGGTTCGATAATCAAAGCCGTGGTTCCGTCCGGTGGTTCAGTGATCAGACATATGGTTCAGTCCGGTGGTTCAGTGACCGAATCGCCGGACTCCGCTTGCAGCGAGGGGCACGCGCGCAACGTCCGAGGTCCTGTCACCGAGTGGGTTCGAGTCCCGTGCACAGCGTCCGACGTCCTGTCGCCAAGTAGGTTCGAATCCCGCGCGCGGCGTCGCATTTTGGCGGCAAGGAGGGGGCGTCTCGCCGTAGCACCGTGCGGAAAGTTGGCAAACACCTGTTACGCCTTCTGGCTGGCTGTCAAAATGACGCAGGCTGGTTACAAAACTCGGATTACCAGGTTGGCGGCGTTGGCCCACACGCGGTCGGCTGCGGTCGGCAGGGACTCGGCCCCCGTCGCCATTCCGGCAGACAACGCACGGCGTTCAAGTTGACAAGACCAAGTACGAGATAGATGGCAATCTCCTTTTAAAGGGAGTGTATCTTGCCAGCTTGGAATTTTTTAACTATGCACGTGGGATGGTAGGGAATTTTGAGTTAAATTTTGTTGTCATTGGTTTCTACCAATTCGCCTCCACTGATGAGGCATTGCCACAGCCCCTAAATTTTCTTTGGTTCGTAAGGAAGAACGAAGTTATCGAGTACCCCCAGAAAATATTCACTACTAAATACACCAACATCATTGAGAAGGTACCGTTAGTTCTAGCCAATGGCTTTTCGAGGAAGCCGCTTGTCAGCGCTGACAGCAGCTTGCGAACGCAGTGAGGGGGCGGTCATTATGTTGATTTTTTGTTTGTTTACATTCAGCTGAGGGCTTCAGGTGTATGGAGTTGGACGCATGATAAGCTGGTCAGGTGATACGCACCGCGATTATTTATGTTGACCTTCTTTATACTACGATGTGGCGCAAGTATTGTGTCGTGTCAGTCGGCTGCACCAGGCTCGAGGAAACGTGACTGTTCTACGCTGTTTTGGTGGCGGCTACAGGCAACTAAGATTCTTATACACTGAAATCAATGATCGAATTCCAAATGCACGTGCACCGAATTCAGCGTTTGAGATAACAAGGAACATGCGCTGAAATCGTTGCTGCGATGTCGCTGTTACACCAGGCATGTTCAGGCTATCATACTCTTCCGTCTCGAATTACGCAAGGGATCTTCAAGTGCGTGCCGCTCTACACTGCCAGCGCTCTCCCTATACGCACGAGACCGTAGCAGCCAAGATAATGTTCATGTCACCAGCGCGCAGTTACTCGCCACTTACACGCTAGCGCATTCGTCCTTTCCTCCCCGCTGATTGGTTCACTTTTTAGTATTGTGTTTGTTCACGCACAGCCATCGATGC